CCCACCTGTCTGTCCTGGCAAACGCAAGGGCGATAATATCCTTCAGATGTACATTAGGGCCTACTCTACTGTATCCATGGAACGAGATCTGTTGATTTCTGTCTCGTCGCTTGCCCAAGAGGCGCACTCTTTTGAAGTGATCTTTCTTTTGAAGAAGGCGAATTTATCACATGCCTTTGCCTTTGGTATAATGGTTTTGGTCTTTGCCGTAAACGCACAGAATGTGAGTTCGTTTCCCGCATCCTGGAGATATTTCAAAAGTATCTACTTTTTATGTGCGGACGGCTATAGTCCTGAAATGTCTAAATAAAGGGACTTGAAGTGCGTTACAGAATGTTGCAAGTACGAAACAACCTATAATACGACTAACTGAATTGTAGTTCGCGACTTGAACAGTGGCTCTGAACACTTCTTCCCTTGTTACCATTTTGGTCTTTCAGTAAAGTGTTATATATTATTTTCACAAGCAAAAAATTATACTTAAGCTTAAACCTATCTATAGATTTACTTTTATTTATTCGTAGTTTGTTGTTGTTGCTGATGTCTTTGTTGCTGCTGCTACTGTTATTGTTGTTGTTGTTGTTGTTGCTGCTGTTGTTGTTGTTGTTGCTGCTGCTGTTGTTCTTGTTAATTGTTTGTGTAGTTTGTATTTTTTGCTAAGGATTTGATTTACCAATGGGTGGTTGGCGAGTGCTCTGGTATGGTTTGCTTCTTCTGTCCTATAAAAAACTATCGTCCTTATCTCGCCTCCTTCATTTTTGTTTTTGTTACTCTATTGTAACACCTCTAATCTTCGGCACTTATATGACTTTATTGTGTTGCAAGTGCCGTAAAACTCTTACTAAAACTAAAAACTTGACTTACCATGCCCAACTTGTGTTAGCGCAACAATTCCATATTAAGGGTCTAGTCTAAAGCATAACAGGCAAACTATGGCATGCGTGTCAGAACCGGTCCTCCAGCAATACCAGTTGACCCAGTAATTAATACGTAATGTTTCTCGTGCTGAGTTGATAATAATATAATAGTCCTTCTTGAAAATTAAATTAATGGTTACTGCCCAACTGGAAGGTTTAATTCTTACTCGCAGGCTATGTTTCATCTGATGAAGTATCTTTGAATGGCATTTTATGCTACAGTGTCAGTTTTAGTCTCACTTTTGAGAGCTTGGGTATTTAAGTCGATTTCATCCAATCCAATTTTCTCCCCACGGGATAACGGGTGGTTGGAAGAGGGCGCTACGTGTAGGTCCTATACTCATTATTTTACTTTCCCCTCTGTTGTTTTCGTCTTTCTGTCTTACTTTTTCCTCAGGACTAAATTATGGCCATTATTGTGTCCATATGCTTCTTTTTACTAAAAGAAAGAAAAAAAGCGAGATTTTTAAAAAGCTTAATCAGGCCCGCAACTTGAACACGCTTTCCCATGCCAATGCCTGGCCTGGGGTAGGCCCTATGCAATTGTCTTGGAACACTCCTCAATTTCGAATGAGATTCCCCATTTTTGCCAACAGCAGCTGGGTCCATATCCTGGCACAGAATGCCCCAATGACCCCTTTTCCCGGCCCATTCAACCTGTCTAGCCATAGAGAGTGCCAAACATGGCTCATATTACAAAGTAAATATGTGCAGGACCCAATATTACGTTTTGCTAAGAGGTCAATGTAAATACATGTACGAAGTGCTGTGGTTGCTACGGGAAGGGGAGCAACTCTGAAAATAGGGCAGATCAGGGGTGGTCTTCGAGTTACGACCCTTAACCTATATTTGCTGTTGAGATTAACATTCCACTCTGCTCCAGTGTTTCCAGGCTTTTCTTCAGCGCAGGCTTTGTGATGTCTGAAACGTCACACAGAATAGCCTACACGAGAACGAAAATGAAGACTACTTAAAAGAGATACTATGTTTATGAAAAATATTTACTTATTCAAATTTAGAGCTACTGATGCTTAGATCTAGATTTCTAGATCTAGATATAGATCTATATCCTTGCGGATATTTGGTTTAAAATTTTGTGTACGAAAACCGTCACCACACAAAATTTGATATGATAGATAACTGTTTATTGTCCATTTATCTCTTTCCTGGGACCATAATCTGTTTAATAGCCATGTCATTATTTTCATTTTGCATTGTATATGCTGCAGTAAGTAACTGCTCTACAACTGTGGGTATCTCTGTGTCTTCCTTTCTTTGCACTCATCCACACAAAGGCGGGGTGGGTGGTGCGCGGGTGCTCTTATGTGCTTGGCTCCAATCTTCTTTATCTCCCCTCCTTCAGATGCTAGATCTTCTCTTTTGTACTTGCCCTAATGTAACACCTTTTATCTTCGGCACTTACATGACCGTATTGTGTTGCATGTGCCCTAATAAAGAAACACATCTTCATCCTAACACTACTGTTCTGGTACCCTGATCTTTCCTTGTCATCCATCTGTCGTTAAGGATTCCCAAGCTAGATTCTCTTGGTCTTTCCCTGCCTCCATTGATTTCTATCTCTCCAGTGAGAACAAAATGTTCAAGACCTTTACGTTGATTCAGATGACCCAGAAAGCGGCTAATTTGTCTGTTTGTATTCGTTTTTATTAGTAAGTGTCCTGGGACTACATAATCGTTATTGTATTAATGTACTTTCTATTTTTAACAAACTTAATATACTCCTTTTTCAGGATTTTACTTCTGCCAGATACGTTCGTCTCCGGTTCCAGAAAATAAGGACTCTCAATGCAGACCTTATGAGTTTTAGCAGCATCGACCCCGATTCAGCCGACGCCAGTGTCACACGAAGGGTAAGGGCCGTATTGTTTGCTTAAAATTTTCTTTATTATGCGATATTATGAGGAAAGCCATCTCATCTTATTATAAGCCTATAGGCTATCATCGTAGATGTAATTATAATCTATACGTTACTGTGTTTGACTCCAGAATTGCAGCAGCAGCAACACCAGAAGCAACAACACCAATAATACACCAACAGCAACTCTATAGCAACAAGAACATCAACACAAACAACAACATTAGCCACAGCAGCTACAAAATAAACAACCTCAAGTGAATCAACTACAGCTCTAATTCCTATTGTGCCGCAGTTGTTATACTCAGTACTCTTAATATATTATGATAACTTCAGTAACATGTCTTTGTTTGTTTGTCAGGATCATTTTAGTTTGCTTAGTTTGCTGTAAAGAAATGTGCTTTCAATGAATGTGTAGAATCTAAGTACATATGACCTGTAAGGGAGATTGGAGAGAAATTGGCCACCGTGGGAGGATTTTTGAAAAAAACGAAATAACCAAAAAATGAAATATAATATAATATATATAAAAAATATTGACTTTGCTTTCGTGTATACAACCATTTAAATTCTCAGCAACAGGGTCATTATATTATTGCGCACTGTTGAACACTTGCAAAAATGGGTAGGAGTGTAGTTTTCAGTACTACAAACGCTTACTGACACCACTGTTTTGTGAAAGTTTTGTCTAAAAAATTGTGAGCTCCACAACATGTTAAGCTTTTTGGAATGCAATTCTTTGAATATCTACGACTTTGAATAATATTACAAGATTCATAGAGCAGAGATAGAATGTATTGTATTGATTCCTGACCTCATGGTCTTTTTATATAGTAATTCAAAAAGGGCAAAAATGTCAGAGATAGAACTTGGAAGTTCTAAGGTATCGTCATGTATACGATCAGGGAAAGTAGACTGTACGTGAACAGCCCCTCTCCTAATTGTGGAACAGTATACACAGACAAAATGTTGATCTGTTAAGACAATATGATGCAAGTGAACAGCCCCTCTCCTTATTGTGGAACAGTATACACAGACAAAATGTTGATCTGTTAAGACAATATGATGCAAGTCATTGTGCAAAGCTGAAGAGTCTATATATAGTTGAGGAAATATTTGACTAAGGTTCTGCATGAATTTTTGATAGTTTGCAGCATAATCTTGCAAGGCAACTAATATTGATCAGCGGAGCGGTATTAATTTAATTTCAATGTCCCTTTTAATTTTGGCTGATGTTGGCATGTGGGATAGTACATGTTTCTGTTGTTCAAACATGTTTTATTTTGTATTTTCTAAGCCAAATGCATTTTTTTCCTGTTTTTTTTCAGTACTACTATTCTGTGAAGGACATTTCTATTGGAGGACAGTGCATTTGTTATGGTCATGCCACCTTCTGCCGCCGCCATGACACGCTGGAAGACGTAAGTTCTCTCTCACCTTACATATCCAACAACCAATTAAATACGCTTGGCTTTATCAGTTTCCTTTCCAGAATCACCTTTGAATTTTTCTTGAAGCTCATTTTTATTATTTTTTTCCTTGAAGTGGGTTGGGTAGCAAGCACAACGGTTATGATGCCATTTTTTATTTCACGATTTTGTGGGCTAATATACCTGACTTATTGAATAAATACAGTGCAAGATATATTGAATTATTAGATTCTAAATAAATTGATCTAGACCAGAATTTTCTAGAGATATACAATTTAGATATAGACCCAAGCTAGATAGATCTGTTACAGGTCTGTAGATTTCTGAACATCTTGCGTACGACTGTCATGTTGTATAATTCACTAATTCAAATTGCATGGAAACATACTTTTGTTTTTTTTCTAGATTGTAAGTCTGTAGATATGTATAAAGTATTAGAACTTGAGATAGTAAAAGTAAACTTAAACAATTTGCAGAGGTAAAAAGGACGGATGTAGATGATGAGGATATCGACTGCTCAGAGTAAGACTCAGTCAGTTATCACTTTTCCCATTGGCATATATATATATATATTGTAGAATCTTACTCTCAGTGGTTGATAGGCCTATAATATATATAAAGGAAATTAATAGTGTGCTTTTTAGTTGGATCGGTATACATACAACAGAAGTTTCTTTATGCTCCCTCGTTTGTCCTGCTTTCAGCGTCTTCAATGTCAGTGCCTGCACAACACTGCAGGAGACAACTGTGAGATGTGTCTGCCAAAGTTCAACCAAAAACCGTGGAAAGTCGGTGGCATTCAAGGACTTGGCTGTGAAGGTATCAACCATGATAGGATTCTATCTTTTTGATCTTGATTGACTTTGATTCTTTTATCTTGTGTTTTTTAATGAATGTCATCTGGTTCAGTGTACTGTAGTTGTGATGAATCTCACCTTAAGTTCTGAAATAAATGTGTAGATTTATTGTTTTCCAGAGGTTGCCTTCTAAATTATCTAAATTGTGTTGATGGTGTAAAAACATCCACATAAAAAAATAAGGTAGCGTGCTTGTCAGCTCATATCAGTTGTATCAATAGTTTAGTCAAACTCAAACATTTGCAATCCGCCTTTGTCTTCACAGAATGCAACTGCCATGGCAAGTCGGATGAGTGTGTGTACAACGCTACAGTGGATGCCAACAAACTCAGTCTGAACATGACAGGCAGTTATGATGGAGGAGGAGTCTGTCTCAACTGTCGGGTAGGGATGGATCAGAATTGCGTTTTTCTTTTTCAAATTGTTTTTTTAAAAAATCCTTTCTTTCACTGAGCCACACCCAGGCGCCAAGTTATATACATGGTCAAACGTGTCCAAGATAACCACCCATTATGGAGGAAGGGAGAAATGGTTGTTTGTACAGATGATTGTCTTGAACAGGTGGTCATTAGAGCAGGTTTGACCAAAAGATCTTGTCTATATATTAGTGTTCTAGCCCCTATAAAATGGCAGCTTGCACTGTATGCTTTCCAAGAAATTGAGATTGTTTCAGAAGGCTAAATTAGGTATTCTGGCGTAATAATATAGATTGCAAAGTGCATAGAGCTTGCTTTTGAGCGGGAATTTGTGCTATACAAATGCTATCTACTATAATTATTATATTTTGTGTAGTCCATGATCTTGTTTCAGTCTTCGGTCCATATATATTTCAGACGTATCTAGTGTTCAAGGGTGTTGTCTAGCATAAAACTTTAAACTTTCGGATGAAAGGTCTTTTCCTATTTGTAGGATTTCATAACCGTCAGTTAAAAAATGAAATGGGAGACCACTTGGTTCATTTTATGTTTATCTGAAAGCAGGAAAACATGTTCATGGTGCTGAAAGTTTGGTAAAAAAGCTAAAGAAGTTGGTCAAACTAGCAGATTGTTGTTGCTTGTAGAGAGGATCAATGTGAAAAATTTAGGATGTGGGAAAAGATTGGCAAAAAGACTGATTGGGAGAGGTAGGAAGAGAAGCCATTAGTGAGTCACACTATCTGGTCTGTGAGTCAGTGGCATTTTTGAGTTAATCCCCAAACTACCCATTCAGAAATATTAAGGTAGTCGTTTTACTTTTTTGTTTTTATGCTGTTGCTAGCGCTGTAAAACTTCTTCCAAACCAAACCACCTTTTCTGTTCCAGGAATACACAACAGGTGTCAACTGTGAACGTTGTCTCCCCGGCTACTATCGCCCGCGTGGAATGACCCCTGACATGAGGTTCCCCTGCCGACAATGTAACTGTCAGGAGACCCAGACGTCCACTAGTGAATGTGTGCTGGATGATTCCCGTGTCGATGAAGGATTGGTATGCCAGAATCTTATGACTCTTTCAACTTTGTCTTTATTATTTTTTTATAGGGCATAATGGTTGCCTTGCTCAGCTGCTCTGACTTTTGAGAGCTGCTGTGATTACTGTGAGCATTGTGTGAATTGGTTCAGCTGATCTTTTTTTCAGTTGAAGTTGACTTTAAAAGGTGTAAGAAATACAACAATGTTTATGCTGTTTATCATTTCATTTATGTTTGTGTCCCCAATGTTGGAAGTGAGTATACTCTGGTGTCCTTCTTTCCTATCTAAAATCTGTTGTCCAATCTCTCCTTCTCTTCTTTGTATGTTACTCTCTAGTAACACCTCAAATCTTCAACACTTTTATGACCTATTTGTGTTGCAAGATTAAAACTATTTTAAAAAATGCAATGGCATTAATTTAATGACAAACATTGCAAATATACTTGTCCCACATCTCAGTGACTGTATGTCTTTGCAGGAACCTGGGTCATGTATCTGTAAGGAGGGCTACTCTGGTCCGGGCTGTGATCGCTGTGCTTTTGGCTATTTTGGATTCCCGAACTGTCGTCCGTGCCGATGTAATGCAGCTGGGAGTAGGGACCCGGACAACTGTGATAGAGCATGTGTCTGCAAGGTACATAGTTATAGAAGCAGTGTTATATATATATATGTTTTATAGTATATTTGAATCTTAAAATAAAGGCAAACATATTAGAAAATGCATTTGTTCCTCTTTTTGTAACTTTTTTTTATAGGCCTAGTGGTTACAAGTTGCTTTTAGTTTTAGAGTTAAGCAGAAGCTATTCTGTACTAAAAGAACAGCAAGATTGTTACGCTTTAATGTACTCAAATGTTTGTTCCCTTAGGTTCATGTCCGGGGCAGTCGTTGCGACAGTTGTGAGCCAGGGTATTTCAATCTGGAGCAAGCAAACCCTGAAGGCTGCACCAAGTGCTTCTGTTTTGGTGTTTCTACAGTTTGTGAGAGTGTGTCATGGGGGCTGTCCAGGGTAAGAACTTGTTGCTTTTATAAATTGTGTTTATTCTTCATCCAGTGGGGCTCAACTTTTGATTCATTGGCATTGATATTTAGCCAAAGTTTTTGTTCAATTATTGTGTCTTTATGCTGGCTGTTGAGAGCTCTGTAAGACTTGTACCTAAGCAAATAATTGTTGTGTTGTGTAAGAGCGTGTTCTGTTAAGGTATGAGTAAGGAATGGTACTTATACCCCTCTCCTGAGCTAACTGAGTGGACTCCAAAAGTAACAGGGGGATAGGGCTGGGATGGGGGGGGGCGCAGAGGAGATGCTCTGAAAGGGTTTGTGAATCTCTTACAGGCATGTACAATAAATATAGGAGCTGGAATTAGATGTCGATATTTGTGCAGCTATGATAAACTCATTCACTTAGAAATTTTCTCCGTAACTTGCACAATCTATGATTTCAGATTTTCTTAAAAACTTTTTTGCAGGCTATATCCATATGATGAATTATGTTTGTTCAAAATCCTTGTAGATCCTACCATTATATAGTCAGTAATTTCAGAGCTGAAATGATAAAGCTCAGGCCAGTACTGACTGGGTGCATCAAAAGCAAAAATAATGTCCACAATCTGATATATATATATTTATTCATAAACTTGATTCCTCTACAGGTGGATGACTACTCTGGATGGGTTCTGTCTACTTTGGGTCCGGGAGGTTTGACCTTACTGCCGCGGATGTTTGGTGGTTGGCTTGAAGCGAAGACATATCTTCTTAAAGTGGATGCCATTGACCCACGGTCCTACTCTCAAGATGACATCCACTACTGGGTGGCTCCTATGTCCTACTTGGGAAATCGGGTTCGTTACTTAACCTGTATAGGTCCTGTTATAAAAATAATAATAATGTAAAGTTACCTGGCGGTCCGATGAGTCTAGGATAGATGTTGCCTTGTCGTAGTTCTGTGTCCGACTGACTTTCAGTGAGTCTCTCTCAAACGTTCTTGACCTATTTTCCCGCGGCTCCTTGTGACATCATCCAAGGATGTGCTACTCCCTTAATTATCTTGTCCCCACAGTAAAGATGAGAGTCATGTCCCTTGACATCACATAATAATAATATTGATATAATAATGATAATAATGATAATAATAATAATAATGATAATGATAATGATAATAATATTAATAACAACTATAAAAACAATAATAATGATAATAATAATAATGATAGTATGATAATATTAATAATGCACTTTATTTCTACAGCAACCATCTCTGTACAATGCAGGATGAGCACTTAACAATACCTTCGTCTTAACACAAAATACATGTGATTGAACATGCATATTATATACATGTATTAGCTCTTTAGATTAATGCCAGTACAAAAGCATTCGTACTATCACAGTACAATTGATGATGACATGCCTATCTCATTATGACCATAAGAGTACCATGAATAAGAAGGACGAATTGTTATGACTCTGGCCATGCTACCACAGACAATACAACATTTCTGTATAATATGATCATCCCAAAATTTGTCCATGGTTATTTTTTTCCTTAAGAAAGTTAAATTGTAGAGATCTGATCTATTTCAATATATATCTTGAAAACAGATGTGTTTCTGTAATGCTCAGTTATTGTAGAAGAATATGCTTTTTGTCAAGCTTTCTCAAAATGTTCTACGACAGCAGTTATTGTGGATATTACCGTAGCCCAGTTACTTGTTTTGCTTGACCCTACTGCCTCGGTTGTTTGGTAGTTGGCTAGAAGCGAAGACATTTCTTCTTAAAATGGATGTTATTGACCCACGCTCCTGTTCTCAAGATGAGAGGCTTGGCCAAGTTACATGTTTTGTTAGAAGTTTTTATTGAATACTATCTTTGCCAAGTTACATGTTTTGTTAAAAGTTTTAAAAAAATATTACCTTTGCCAAGTTACATGTTTTGTCTCTTGCACTTACTCATGTTCTCCCCTTGCCTCACTGTCCTCTAGACTTTGAGAGCTCTAGTGTTTGAATAGTTCATGAACACAGGCATGTAGACAATGCCAAACTATATCAGTGCATGGCTTTTGCATTATTGCTGGTCACAAGGTTGCTCCTTACGCAAAGTACAATAATTTTAGCTTAAAACTGGGAGCTGAAATGCAATAGTGGTATAATTTGTTCACCGTGAAGTATTGTAACGTTCTAATTTGTTTTTCTATTCTGTATAGGTTGTTGCCATGTCATATTTCTTCATAGGAAGGATGAAGATATCTTTCTTTCTCTGTATTTCTTTCTTTATCTGTCTTTCTTTCTTTCTCTATCTTTCTCATTGGATGGTTGACGGGCATTTTAGAGTAATTTGCTAATTCTTTCCTATCAAACATTTATCTTCTTTTTCTCTGCTTCTTTTCGTTGTATCTTACTCTCTAGAAACACCTCTTTTCCTTAGCACTTATGAACAAGTGCGGTAATACTCTTCCTAAAACTAAAACTCTTTCTCTCTCTCTTTTTTTCCTTTTTCCTTTTTTGGGTCACTGCACTTAAACTCTCTCTTTCTCTCTTTCTCTCCCCCCCCCTCTCTCTCTCTCTCTCTCTCTCTCTCTCTCTCTCTCTTTTAATTTTTTTTTTTTTACATTTTCCTCCTTTTTTAGTCACTAACTGCAATGACCTCCTCTTGTTTGACAGCTGAGTTCCTATGGTGGTTACCTGACCTTTACCCTCAAGTATAGTCTGGATGATCAGCTGTCTGGTGGATATCACCTGAGGGAACCCAATTTGGTGCTGGAGGTGAGCTTCATCACTTTTAGAAGATACAGGCTGCTATTTATCTGTCCTCCTTCCTTCTTTCTTGATCTGCCTGTCTGTTACTCTCTCTCTCTCTCTCTCTCTCTCTCTCTCTCTCTCTCTCTCTCTCTCTCTCTCTCTCTCTCTCTCTCTCTCTCTCTCTCTCTCTCTCTCTCCTGTCTGTCTGTCTGTCTGTCTGTCTGTCTGTCTGTCTGTCTGCCTGCCTGTCTGTCTGTCTGTCTGTCTGTCTGCCTGCCTGCCTGCCAGCCTGCCTGCCTGCCTGCCTGTCTGTCTCTCTCTCTCTCTCTCTCTCTCTCTCTCTCTCTCTCTCTCTCTCTCTCTCTCTCTCTCTCTCTCTCTCTCTCTCTCTCTCTCTCTCTCTCTCTCCAACTTTCTCTCTCTGTCTCTTTCTCTCGTACTCTTTCTCTCTGACAATGTGTATGTTTTTCTTTTATTATCTGTCTGTCATTCTATTATTCCTGTTCTCTTTCCCTAGCCCTGTCCTTCCACAAATAACAATCTTTTGTTCAATATTCTTATTTATTTATTTCAGGGCAGCAATTTGGCCATCACTACCGACAAGGAATATCTGAGGGAAGAGATGGAGAACAAAGTGCGCATCCGTCTACATGAAAGTGGCTGGTTCCGCCTCAGCGATAGACAGCCAGTTACGAGGGATGAGATGATGACTGTGTTGTACAGCCTGAGCCGTCTGCTCATCCGCGCTACCTATCACACAGCTCAAGAAACTGTTTTGTGAGTTTCCCCAAATTTTCTGTTTCGTGAATATTCAAACAAAGTAACACACAGAAAACTGGAATTGTGAGTTTGTATGTGTGGGTTTTCCGATTAGTGATATTTGAACAAAACAACTCACAGGAAACTGTTTTGTGAGTTTTTACATGTGGGTTTTCCGATTAGTGATATTTAATTTAAACAAATCAACACACAGAAAACTTGTTTGTGAGTTAGTAAGTGTGCGTTTTCTGATTAGTGATATTTAAACAAAATGACTCAAAATAGCGCAGATTACCAGTCTTTTCTTTGGAGATTTCTTGTCTTCTGTCAGAGGTGACCCAACAGATGACAAATCTACGAGAGTAGAAGAAGTTATGCTCTCAGCCATGTGTGGCAGCAAATTATATTTGCCATATTTTCATAGTATTTCATTTTACAATTCACAGCACACAGGTTCGTATTTTGAAGATGATACAATTTTGTTTTGTTCTCAGCCTGAAGAATGTCTACATGGACATGGCAAGCCCTCTGGTCATGGATGGAAGCTCTTTACCATCTGTTGAACAATGCAGATGTCCTCAGGGCTATGCTGGACTGTCATGTGAGGTATGTAATGCTGCATTCTGTTCAGTGTGTTGTCTGTCTTACAATCTACCCCAACAAATTGTTGACAGAGAGTTTACACATGGTGCTAGTGGAGATAAGTAACTGGTGGAGATTTTTTGTTATTTGTGAAGCATTTCTTTAAAACAAATAATAAGAATATTGAAGTCTGATCACCATAATTAATTTGTTTGATCTTTCTGATCGTTTTGTATCTCCCAACTGAACGGTGATGCTGAAGTGTTTATCAAGAATTTACTCCTTTCTGATATTTTAATGACCTGCATCTGTGGTGTACTGGTAAGGCTCCATTCAGTTGTAGGCAGAGTATGTGGGTTCAGTTTCGACTTTTGGAAGTTGTTTTATCAAGTACCCCCAGTATTGTTTTTACTCGGGATATTCGAGGGTTTGGCTCGTTTGAAGACTATTTGGGGTGTAAATTATTCACATACCTTTTAGAATGAAACAGGAACAATTATACCACCTAAAATCAATCCAAATCAAGACTTTTGTAATGAATACCTACTGATAATACACTTTCAACTACCATTTCAAAACATTTGCTTGACAAAATGGATTCCTAAATAGCTTCAGAACAATAATTTCACAACACTTGAAAGTGTGCCTGTTGTATTTCTTTACCTATCTGTGATGCAATGGTATGGCTTTTTATGTTACATGCAAAGAGAATGTGTCTTTCTCCTTGAATATAATGCTGTATAGCCTGACAGTTGGCCTTCTTACTTACTTACTTAGGCCTACTTATCCCTTAGTCTAGAAGACCGTTTGAGTACCAAGGATGATCAGGCAATCACTTTTCTCCATCCTTCTGTCACTATTTTTGCTTCTTTCTTATTCTGTCATACAATGATTTATTGCAACAGAGCTGCTCTCCTGGATGGCGCCGCGTGGAGAACCAACTGTACGGAGGACGGTGCCAGCAATGTCAGTGTTACGGCCATGCCTCTGGCTGTGATCCTGTCACCGGAGACTGCATGGTGGGTTTTTAACCATTCTCTTTTTTGTATGTGTATTTAGGATTCATAATCGATGATTGTGTTTTAATTTCTGACGGGCACCCCACACTACATGCCTAGCAAGGGATTAAGATTTGAAAGCTGAAATTAGAAGTTTGGCTATGGAGGTTAATATATAGCTTCCATTAAGATAATAAATGATGACTTTAGACCATATGTTTTTAGTTGCAATTTGAAGTATATGAATGCTTAGTTTATGAAGTTGTTTTCTTCATGGTGACCAGCAGCCCTAGTTCGAATTCGTTATAAGACTTTAAAAACCTTTTTTCGTTTAGTATTTATATAAATCTCATTTAATTTTGATTCGTACTGTCAAAAAAGGGTTCCAATTTTAGGTGTTGAAAGTTGGTGTAAAGTTGTCTACTTACCCAGGTACTGATCTGTCTTTCATGTTTCGTAGAGGGAAGTGTGAAAATACAAGTCAGTTTCTGAATTCTGATTTCTATTATTCTGTAATATCCAGGACTGTAGACACAGCACAGCTGGAGCTAGGTGTGACCGCTGTCTGCCAGGGTTCTATGGCGACCCCCGACGAGGGTCGCCAGATGATTGCAAGCCCTGTGCTTGTCCACTGACCACTGGTAACAATTTCTTTGCTGAGAGATGCGTTGCCAGGCCCACTCTGGAAGATAGGGATGCATATGAGTGTGTCAATTGCCAGGAAGGGTATACTGGAGATAGATGTGAGATGTAAGTGCAGATGGAATGACTATGTCTTTCTACCATCATATTAGGCGAAAAGTGTTACATCTAGAAGCTGAAATTGTCAAGATTTATTGGGTACTTTTGGCATTTCATTTCATTTCATATTCTATCACATTCTTTGAAATCTATTTTAAAAACTTTCCTTGTCATAAATATATATACACAGGATGTATTAATGATTTTTTTCTCAATTTATTTCATAAATTGTGTTCCGACACAGTGAAATCATGCGCTCGTCAATTTTTGGGCATCTAGAATTATTGCTATCATCTTAAAGCTTGCTCATTTGTCTTTCTTTTGATGAAAAAGATATCCATCTATCTTGTATACAAGTTGAGATATTGACAATTGAAGGAGGTGGGGGTCACCTGATTTCAGAGGTAAAATTTGCAAGAAAATGGCCGCCAAAGTGAAGTTATTTCCTTTGCTTGAGAGTCTGTGGAAAGTGAAAATTTACATTTTTTGTGCCTGTAATCAATATTTTTCAATAAAATCCATACAGAAATGTGTTGTTTAATGAACATAAAAGGTGATAAGCCAAAAAACAAAAATTTGAAAAAAATTCCTGAACCTGCGGAAAAATGACAGTTTCTTCATTTTCATTATTTTGACGAGCGCCTATTTGTCTCACAATTATTCCTTTTTTTTTCTTTGTAAAGGTGTCTTGTTATCTGAGGTTTATTAAAGAATTTTTTTCTTAATTTTTTTACTCAAAAGCAAGTCACAGATGCAGTGTCAGGAATTGTTTATAATACCCTGTTTTTGGAAGGTTATCAAGTTTCTTAAATGACCTTGGAGTTGTGTTTCCTGTTGCTGAGGTTTTAAAAAAAAAATATATTCATGTAACATGGGTTTCTGATTATAGAATGCTGTTCTTACCGATGGTATTTTTTGAGTGGGTGGTTTAAGGCTCCTAATTTTGTACTTTCCGACTATCATTCCTGTCTGGTTTTTTCTTTTCTATTTCCTGACTATTATTGTGTTGATGTGCTTCTCTTTACTCAAAAACAAAAGCAGAAAATGCTTTTGGCTCTTGTGTTTATTTGAACAAGTTTTGAGATACCAACCTATGTACCCTTTACTTCACAAAAGCTCAGGACATTTAGAAAGTTGTTTTCAATGGAAGCAGTTGGTGGTGACTGTATTTCCTTTCAGTGATACTGTTATAGGAGTTTGATTTTGCCTAAATGTGGCAATTATTGTGCTGAATGACTGTTAATTCTAACTCGGTAACAGTCTAATTGTGACTGACATGTTTTTATTCTCGGCTTTCCTCAGGTGTGCTTCAGGTTACTATGGCAACCCTGGCACCCCAGGAGGTTCTTGTCGTAGATGTATGTGCGGTGGCAACATTGACATGTCGCTTCCTGGGAGCTGTAACAATGTTACTGGTGCTTGCACTCGCTGTGCCACGAATACCGAGGGAGAGTTCTGTGAGAGATGCAGCCCAGGGTACTACGGCTCAGCTGTGAATGGCGATTGCCGACGTGAGCTTCAATTTGTTATATTATAACTTATCTTTTTGATGCTATGTTTTGTCACTAAATACAAGAAAATTGTAGCCCATCATCTAGTAGCCTCAGATTCTCTTTTGTTATTTGATATTTTGTCTCTCTTTCATTGACCTGGAGTTTCTAAAGACTTTAGTTATGTCAATGGCAGTGTAAGATATATTGCAAAAATAATTACAAATTTATGCCCATCATATCAGGGAATTTTCCAACCACTTTCTCATTGAGTTCATGACTGAAGTAAATAATAAAATGGTTAGTCATCATTGATTAATTTAGATTGCTTTTATGAAATTTCAGTCCATAAAAAATAGTAACTTGCTGGTCCCTTTGTTCAACATAGTAGTGGTATAACTTTTTTTTATTCTTCAAATTTGTAAGAGTTTTACGCAACATAAAGTTGTCGAGTCGGGGTTCATTTTTTTCCATGTAACATTTTCTCGTCAGTGTGGTTTCACAGCAAGAGTATTGATATGTTATGGTGGGGAGCATAATATTGCTGTTTCATACCTCCATTTTGCACCTTTCCTTGCTGAACATAAAGCTGCTAGTGTTAGTTGGTTTTTATTGTTATATTATGCTTCTTGGTAAGCTGTTCTATTCACTTTACAGTGAACTGGTTAGGCAGAGGTTAGGGGGTTTCGCAGTGGCATGCAGGAGGTATGAGTTTGATTCCCTTCTGGGGACTGCTTTTTCTCAAGTATATCCTTTTGTCTGCTTCGATGTTGTACCCCTTTCAGCCTGGTTGGCCCTGACACGCAGGGTCAAAGCTCTCCGATTCCAAAATAACTTAAAATGTGTTGATTGGGGACATAAAAACATATGGGAATTTATAAATGTACGTGGGGGTGGGTGGTTATATAGGGTGGATGAATATATATATGAAACTACTTGTACTACCCTAATATATGGTTTGGGCAAACATAACATTCTTTGTGGAATGTTTTCAGTGTTGATTCTCTCTCTCCTCAGCCTGCGAGTGTTCCAATTCTGGTTCCCGAAATAACGAGTGCAACGCAAGAAGTGGTCAGTGTGAATGTAAGGAAAGGTTCACAGGCCGGCGATGCAACAAGTGTGAGGTATAAATTGTTACCTGGTTCAGATTCTCAGAGAGCTTGTGTCACTTGTGCTATAAGTCAAAACTAGGTTGAAATTTTTAAACCATATTTGAAAGTGAATGTTTTAGAGAGGATGTTGCTACTTTCTTTCCTTATACCATTCACATGTATCTACTATCCTTATCTATTAGAGAGAGCTCTCTCTCCTTATTGATATTGCCTTTTTCCTTATTTAGTTATGTTACTACTGATATAACTTTTTCTCCTAACAATGATATTGTGTTTCTATCTTTCTACTTATCAAATTCAGACACGTCTACTAGAGAAGATTATTGTCTCGCTCTCTTTTTATCTAATTCATATATATTTCTCTGTCTTTTAGAGAGGATAATCTCTCTCTCTCTCTCTCTCTTTCTCTCTCTCTCTCTTTCTCTCTCTCTCTCTCTCTC